GGGGGGGGGGGGGGGGGGGATTTGGGGGTTATATGACTCACCCCCGATGTTTAAAATCGACAGTTTTGTCGGGCAAAACTCAGTAATTCGTCGGTCGAAAAACAAACAGGTGTTTTGAAGAGAATTTAAAGCGTGGACTGCTAAGAAAAACAGAAAGCTAAAGATTAAACTTACGCGCTGACTGGACATGTATGATGCATCGAACATTCAAAGAATCAAACGGTTACAGTAATCGAATGTGAATTATTACACTTTGTCACTTTCTACTGTATATTTTACTGTTTATGGTTAATTTACATTATTAAGTTACCACGATGAACGCTTTCAAATCGCTTTCGCGATCTATTGATCTTGAACTGACTGTTGCGGTACGTATTTATGTTAGGTCCACACAGACACGACTCCACTTTAGTCGGTTCATTCTTGACGTGCGAGGAACCGAAATAGGTACACCTGTAAATAGCCATAGAGCATAAATCTTATCATTTAGCATTTTAGGGTTTTATAGCCTACGAACTATAATGAACCAAATTTATTGTTATGTTTAAATTATTGCAAATTTGTAATGTGTATAAAATATTTATATCTGGGACAAAATTTCTGTTTTATCTCATTGCAAATAGTACTTTTATTTATGCCAGTAATATATAAAATCTATACTTAGTGTGGGCGTGGCATATTTTGACCAAAGTTTTGCAAGTTTAAAAACATTTCCACTAATTTGCTGAGATATTGTTGGCTAGATCTGATCTTATTTCCCGCTACAAGCTCCCCCCCCCCCAACCTTACCCGGCGTATTTGGACAAATTAGAAAATTGATATCGAAGAGAACAGGTGAACTTGTCCTCCCCAGTCCTGCTCGTTGCGCCGCCACTGCATCCATGCAAACGACAGTATTTTCTCAGCGAAGAAATCTAATAAGTCCCAATCTTTTCGTTTTAAGAGAAAATGGATAATCTATTATTTTCTTAGAATGTTAATAAAGCACAGCTTTGCGGAGATTAAAAGTGACCTTATTAGACAGAATAATCAATAATAGAAAGCAATATGCTGGTTTTTTGTTACTGTTTCTTATGGTATACTACTCAGTACTAGTTTTGTTCAGGTAGTTTTTACTACAGGTAGTTTTTACTACATCATTATCCATGTAGTTTTTACTACATCATTATCCATCAGGTAGTTTTTACTACATCATTATCCATGTAAATGCCATGATTTCGTAAATCAGTTTACACTGACAATACAATTATATTATATTTTCTCTATTTAACAACTAAACAATATATTCAAAATGGCGACGGTCAAATAATTCTGAGCTCCTCGTGTTTGACAAATTCCAGTTCAAAATCCGAGAATAAAAACGACCAAATCAATAGATTATGTTCAAGAAACAACTTGCTTGTCGCCTGTGGCCCTCAGTTCTCGTGGAAAGGAAATATAGATGAATTAAAGCATTTTACGTGTGATGTTTTGAAGCTGATGGGGAAATGGAAATCACCAGGCGGTGATGTAAAATTATTTACTAGTTCAAATGAGGAATTGGTCTTCAAATGGCAGGGTTTGAAAAGAAAGAAGATCGAGATTCTAAAAGATCGTGACAATGAACTTTTAATTAGCCTGAAGTGCCATGCTCATGATGAAACTAAAGCGACGGACAACAAAATTCTCGAAGAAACGATCGACCACATGTGTGCTGCCATGTCGTTGCCTCTGCCTTCACCAACGTGTAGTAAGTGCGGTAAGCATGAATTTTATCCCAACGAACTTGAAATAGAAGCCAATTTCGAACTGGTATTCGCTCGACTTAGTAAACTTGAAGAAAAACCGCAGAATGAAACGATGACGGAAACATCACTGGTTACTGAAAACAACAAAATTGCGGCTGAGATTGAGAATTTGAAGGCGACTGTAGCCGAGTTACGAGAAGAAAACGATGGAATTAAGACATTATTGGACATTAAACAAAACGAGTGGATTCAAATTGAATCAAGACAAAGCTCAAATAAACCTACAACCACAGCCATTCCTCCGACAACAATCGAAAATCGCTTTGATGTCCTGAGTATCGAAGACCCTGTTGCTGAATATTGGAAAGAGACAGCTTGCCAGGCTGCCCAGTCAAAGCTAACAACAACAATGAAAAACCGAAGCGGAACTACTTTAAATCGAGCAAGACCCAAGAATATCAAAGTAAACCTCAACACCCAAACCAACCAAGAAAAACCGAGAAGAAGACACTGGTCATTAGGGATTCGATGGTTAAGAACATTGATGAAAAGAAAATTGAAAGAGCAGCAAGAGGCAAAACCGTTTGCCACTCGTACAGTGGTGCTACTGTAAGTCAATTGCACCAAAAGTTAATCGAGGATAATTGCCACGACAACGAGTACGAGAGCATCATTCTAAACATTGGAACCAATGATCTGGTGCGCGAGGATGCAGACAAGGTTGCTGAGAAGATGGAAGAGCTGATAGAAAAACTGAAGCATCGAGCGGAGAGAGTTGCTGTTTCAAGTGTCATCAAAAGGTATGATGGTCGAGTTCCACCAAGTAAAATAGCATCCTATAATTATTTAATGTATCATATATGTTTAAAGCACAACATTCACTATATCGACAATGATGATATGGACAAATCTCTTTTGAATCGCTCAAATTTACATTTGAACAAAGTAGGAGATAGAGCACTAGGGAGTGCCTTTTGCACTTTCTTGAAATCAAATAGAGCTAGTAATACTAGGCCAGTACCGACTACAAATGGTCAGCCTTTTTTTCGACTAGCTGGACATCGCATGAAAGAGTGGACAAATTATCTAAAGCATGTCAGTCAAGTACTGAGAAAATAATTAATATAGATCCGTCAAATGAAAATGTGGGTAGCGGTTTTTCCACTAGCCTTAATTCTATTCCCAATGAAAGAGGTTTTAAGATGGCTTTCCTAAATATTGTCAGTTTGCCAAAAAAGATTGATGAAAAAATACGTTACTCAATGTCCAACAAACACATTGACCTGATTGGTTTTAGTGAGACCCAACTTGATTCAAATATTTCTGATTGTGTAATTGACCTTGATGGCTATGACATTGTTAGAAAAGACCGATCAAGAAATGGGGGTGGAGTTTGTATATACTTACGCAGCTCAATCAACTATTCAATAAGAAATGATCTTATTCCCTCCGAATTGGAGGCTGTTTGTGTAGAAATTAGTAAGCCACATAGTCGGCCATTTTTGGTTACAACTATTTATCGACCACCAAATTCATCACATGATTTTTTTGAAAATTTTGAAAAATTAATCAAAGCGATTGATGATGAAAATAAAGAAATGTATATTCTAGGTGATTTAAATTGTGACATGCTTAAAACAGAATCCGATACACCAACCAAGAAAATAAAATCACTGTATGAACTATATCAATTGTCACAATTAATTAAGGAAGCTACTCGGGTAACCATGACAACCTCCAGCCTCATTGATCATATAGTTACTAATACACCAAAGAAAATCTCAGATTCTGGTGTCATTCATACAGGAATCAGTGATCATAGTTTGGTATTTACCATCAGAAAAATCCATATTTCTAAGAAACAAGATGAAAACATAGTGGAAATCAGAAATATGAAAAACTTTGATGACAAAAAATTTGTTGAAGATTTACT